AGAAAAGTGAAATCAATCTATGTGTGCTATTTTCTTAACATAGTTATTGCGCAAGAAGCGCCTTGTGTAAAAATTATATAAGTTCTTAAATTTTCCTGTAAAATTAATCGTTAATATCTAGGCTAATATATCATTTAAATAAAGAATGCATTACATGGATGTAAACCACAAGCACTTTGCGTCATTCGTAAGTTCTAAACTTTTTCGCTCAATGTACTTCGAAAACGAAGCTACGCAAAGAAAAATCGACTAGCTTTGCTGAACGCAGGCTGGCCACTAACTTCGTAGCTCGTGTCAGCATCAGCAAGCCGCGACTTCGGCATTCGATCGTCTGGTCAGCAGGCATGTCGTACGAAGCCTCAAAGGCCAGTTGAAAGGCCAGGCTAGAAATTTTGTGTCGCATTCAAATGTGTGGGCATTACTCATCTTAGTGTTTATATTGTCTTTGGCTTAACCGTAGAGTTAGCCAGAAGTTATTCCACTCAGCATGCAGTCAAAGCAATGATTAAGAATTGCACGGTTGGTAAGGTAAAACTTATCATGCAAACTGGTACCTTCAATACAATGAATGATGCCATATCCAAATTTGTAATAATTTGCATAGAAGCAACTGGACAGCCGAACACTGTCCTATATTACAAAAATTATTCACAGCGCGGCGGAAACCGCGGACGAGGAAATAATAGAGGTAACTTTCGTGGTCGTAACAACTACAATAGTATCTATAACAACAATGAACGAGGCCAATATAGAGGAAACTCAAGAGGCCGTGGCAATTCGAATCGAGGCCACAACAGCAATATCTCAAATAGTGTCCGAGGAGACAACAATTCATCGAAAAACTCACAAAACCCTTTAAATGCTCAACAGTAGAAGATGCAAGGGTTCACACTATTAATCTCAGTCAGAACATATTCGTATCATTCAAACATGTGGCTACAGGAAAAGAACTTGTCTTTTTAGTAGACACAGGTGCATACATTTCAATAGTTAAAGAAAATTCTGATGTCTTTCAAGACATACAAGACAACTACATTATAGACATAAAAGGAATAAGTGAAGAGGTTATCAAGTCCAAAGGATTACCCTCTATTGAGATACAGACCACTAAGTATATAATCCCACATGATTTTCATATCGTGGATTTACAATTCGCTATTCCTTGTGATGGCATAATAGGAATCGATTTTATTAAAAAATATGTCAATTAGACTTCAAGCAATCTGAAGATTAGCTTATAATTAGACCTAATAACTTAAAATTTCCAATTCATGTTCCGATAACATACAGTTCTAGCAACATCTCAATACTTCTGCCAGCAAGATCCAAAGTTTTTAGAAAAATTCGACTAAATTCAAAAGAGGACAGTGTATTGATTCCAAATCAAGAAATTAAATAGCAAGTTCCATACCAACAACTAAAAACGCGTTCATAAGAATACTTAATACAACAAATAAAGATCAAGTAGTCAGTGCAAACAACTTAACGTATGAATCACTTTCGAACTACGAAGTAGTCAAAACTAATACAGAAGATAGGGATAAGTCTGTATTATCTCAACTTTCAAAAAACTTTCCACCACAATTCAAGTCACAGCTTTCAAACTTATGCACCAAATATAATTATATATTCGGATTGGAAAGAGAACCAATAAGCACAAACAATTTTCATAAACAAAAACTGAGATTAAAAGATGATGAACCAGTGTATACAAAAAGTCAGGTGAACGAAATACAGAAGCAAGTTGGAAAATTGATCACCGACGGGATTGTTGAACCATCCGTATCTGAATATAATAGCCCATTATTACTTGTCCCTAAAAAACCATCTTCAGGTTCAAAAGAAAAGAAATGGCGATTATTGATTGACTATCGTCAAATTAATAAAAAATTATTGTCCGATAAGTTTCCACCACCTAGAATTTATGATATTTTAGATCAACTAGGTAGAGCAAAATACTTTTCATGCCTTGAAATGTCATGTTTTCACCAAATTAAACCTGAAGAGGGTTCAAAAACTATAATGTCTTTTTTAACGAGCAATGCATCATATCGCTTTACGCGATTTCACAAGTAAGAGGTTCTAGTCAGGTGCTCCCGACTAGGGGATACCCTGAACCCTATTCCAAAATGAAATGCATATATATATTTTATTTTAGAAGCTATATGTCAAGTTTGGTTACTCTAGCTCTTATTATTTACCAAAATTGCCCAAAAAACAGGATATCGATATCGATTTTTATTGATTGCTTGCACCACTAACCAAACAACATATAGACTAGACATGAGTACCAGAAGTAGACACAAAATGTATCGGTGGCATCTGGTCCAAAATCGCGAGTAAGGGAGTAAGATATACATATGATGTATTTTTGAACCGCTTACTCTACAGGAAAGTGCTTGGCGCACACTCTTCCATATGATTTGTACGATAGAACTGCAACGCTGTTAACTTTTATCTCGCTCGCACTTACTCTCAGCTCTCAATGCTCTCTCTATGTTTAGGGATCGTTTCAATGTGTGTGTGTGTGTATTTGTCCGACCAGCAAAACTGCGCACAAATTCAATTTTTCCCAAATGCTGAGGCATTTCTACCCTTTTGAAGGCACGAGTAATATGAAATAGAGAAAGGGTTTGCCACGTCGATGCGAAATTCTTGCATTTTAGCTCGCTATCGTTGGTAAGGGTACCCAAGCGTTGCCATGTGTGCATTTAGAATATTTTGGACTCGCTATACACGCATACTTGCATATTTTGTGTATGAATAGAAGCATTTATGCGCTTGTGTGCCTGGCGGTCGACACGAGCGTGGCAGATTCAACGGGTTTTAGTCCCACTTTCCTGATGCAGGGCAGGGAACCTCGGTTACCCGCAGCTCTGTACGATCAGATGAATCCGGGGTCCGCCACTAGTGCGCTCGACCGTAAGACTAAGGCGGATAGGCTAAAAGAAATTTTTGATATCGGATATTCCAACAGGGCCGGTATTACAACTTGCGAAGACGATAGTGGCGGCCTTCGCTGGATTCGATGGTCCTGTTGAGGCAGCACCAGTTGTCCAACGCAACTGAAGGTTTCGCCGCAAAGTTGGCACCCAAAGATGACGGCCTCTACAGGGTCGTTAAAGTCATGTCCTCCAATATTGTAGGGCTGGTGAAATCAGGCGAGCATAAGAAGAGGGTGGCCAACATTTCACAGTTGAAACCATTCTACCAAAAGCCGACGGGCGACGAAGAAGACGAAGATCCAGGGCACGTAAATGCCCACGACTAAGCGAAGGATGAGAGCGACTCCCGTCGCCCAACGAAACCATTATAAGAAAGTTTAGATAAGACTAACACTAATAACATAATTGAGAATAGGCCTAGTAAAATGTGAGCCGCACAGAGAAGATAGGGCATTAACAAATAAGTAACGAGTAAGTTAACCAATAAGCTGAATTAACTTTACTGAATTTACTCTTGCCGACGCAGAGAGGCGACGTGACCGTCACCTGCTCAAAGTGAGGGGGGGTGTGAGGCGGCTAGTGAGGTCCGCCGTCCCATAGTTTTCTTGGCGAGGAGCCATCGTTCCGATTGCCGAATCACGGTGAGTAGCCGCTAGCGGGACAACCCAACAATGTGTTTATAAGTCTTGATGGTATTAGTTAAATAAGAGGCAAGAAGCCGCCAATGGTACAAGTAGCAATTGTATTAGTTATATAAGAGGCAAGGAGCCGACAATATTATAAGCCGCAGTGTATTAATTATATTATAATCACCAATTATATTAGTGAGTAAGGAGGCGAGGAGCCACGAAGGTTATGGGAGCGAATTTGAATTTAACCGCCGGCCGCCGCTGCAACCGTGCGTTGTTGATCGGTTGCTTAATACCGCATTCAAGAGCGCAACTCCAATTCGGCGGTGAAGAGCGAAAGCTTCGAGGCGAAGTTACGAAAGCTCGCGGCGAAGTTGAACGGCCAAGGCAAGCGCATGGCTTGCTGGCGATCGCGCCGGGACTTTGGAATGAACGCTAAGGGTGAGTAGACGTGCATTGTGAGACGAGGAAGGTCATAGAGTGTACATCGGAGCGCTAGGGCTCCAGAAAACAGTGCGACAGGGTTTAGCTCGTGAGGTACTATAAAGTAGCAATAAGCGAGGAGTGAATCAAGTACATTTGTTATAATTATCGAGAGGAAACCGGATAATTCTTTGTTTTTTGGTAACCTGGCTTACCTTAACATCGGAATTAACCGGCGCTCGAGCTAATCTCGATCAGGAGCATGTGGTACGAGATTGTGGCCCCGCGGTGGGCATTACCGGTTGGTGTTTCGATAGAGTAGTGGTACGAGGCCACGGGCCGATAGAGCGTTTGGGTAGTGGAGTTGGCGCGAGGCTCCAGCCCGATAAAGTGGTGGTACGACGCCACGGCCCTCAAGTGTAGTTGGTACGAGGCCACGGCCCGCTAGTGTAGTTGGTACGAGAACACGGCCCGGTAGTGTAGGCGTGCAAAAATAGCGCTAGGCTTGGTCTGGTCAGGATACTCACCCCCCTTCCCCCTTAAGCCCTCCTTCCCAAATTGAGAGGCAGAGGGCGGAGTACTCAGGCAGCCAACCCGTAGCCCCGTGTGTCTCGAGTTCGAATAGTGCAGAATGGGCGAGGACGGCACAGTCCCCGAGCGGACATCTCAATCCGCTACGGTGTGCTCCCAGCGGATCCGGAACGACCGTTGTGGACAACAGGGTCTCCGCCCCACCCGCTGCAACACACGCAGAGGTGGCCCATCGGATGATGAGCCAAGAGGCCGGGAACGAATATGATCCGCGACGCGCGTGTCGTAGGTGCGCACAGGAGGGGCACTTCGCCAGAGAATGTCCCAACGCCCCCGTCTTATTTTGTTGGGTATGTGGAAGCCGGGGCCGAAGTAGTCAGGACCAGGATCGGGTCGGCGCCGATAAACACGGAACACAGTAGTAGGACACCCACTGAAGGTGGACGGTGGCCGTATCGTCGCTACGGTAGAGATCGGCGGACGAACGATGCCTGCCACGATCGATACTGGAGCCACTCGTAGCTTCATGAGTGAAGACTGCGTACGCAAGTGGATGATTCGGGGAAGAGTGGAGGAAATACAGGCACGCATCCGCCTGGCGAATGGGTCCACCATAGAGGTGGAGAAAGCCTTGAGAGTAGACGTCAGCTTAGGGGAAAAAAGATCAGCATGACGATTCTCATCATGCCCTTAATGTTGGACCACGTAATCCTGGGTATGGATTTCTTGGGTGCAATAGGCACTACAATACGCTGCGGCGAGGCAGAACTGGTTGGGTCACTCCCAGGTAATGGAAGGGGAGCACCTGCTCGGCACCCGATGAAAAAGGTCAGGAAAAGCGAAATAAAGTCCGGCTCAAATCGAGAGCCTGAAGAACCCAGGAGGCGGCGCGTAGAGCTGCAAAGGCAGACTTATGTTGGCTACGGAAGCGTCACGGCGGGAACGTGCCAGGGAAAGTAGGGAGTAGGAGCAATGGCCAGAATCCACACGGACACAGGGAGCCAGGAGCGACTGCCAGAATCGAGCGCTCATGGAGTTCTGTCTGGAGTCGAAGTGGTGCCAGGAGGGGGCGAAAACGGCATCGAAGAGGCGGAGTGGCCAGCGGATGTGGATCCAGAACTGAGGGAGTTCTGGAGTCAGAGCTGGCTCTCTTCGAGGGGCTGCGGGGAGTCTCACACATCGCGGAGCACAGAATCCGGCTGAGGGTTGACAAGCTATTGAAACAGAGATACTATCCCAAGAATCCGGCCATGCAGAGGGTGATCGACGAGCAAGTGGATGAGCTGATCCAGGCAAATGCCATCATTAGTCGTGTTAGTCAAGAAGAAGACTGGCGAGTAGCGTATGTGTATTGACTACCGACAACTCAACGCGCATTCCATTCCGGACGCTTATCCGGTGCCTCATATTAACCACATCCTGGAGCGGTTGCGTCACGCCCGGTTCATCTCCACTCTGGATTTGAAGCACGGGTACTGGCAGATACCGATGGCAGCCGATAGTCGGGAGTGTACGGCGTTCACAGTCCCTGATAGAGGTCTTTTCCAATGGCGGGTGATGCCATTTGGTCTACACCCGGCGTGTGCGACCTTTCAGCGAGCATTGGATTCAGTAATAGGACCGGAAATGGAGCCCCATGCGTTCGCCTACCTAGACGACATCGTGGTAATAGGAACAACGAAAGAACAGCATGTAGAGAATTTGAGGAAGGTATTCCGCCGGCTATGGGCGCCCAATCTCAGGTTAAATAGGAAAAAATGCAGCTTCTTCCGGAAGAATTTAGTCTACCTAGGACATGTGATTTGCGGGGAAGGAATACGTACTGATCCGGGGAGAGTGGAGGCGATACGTAGCCTGAGGGCCCCGACAAATTGCAAAGAACTGCGGCAGTGTCTCGGGATGGCATCATGGTACAGGCGCCTCGTCCCTAACTTCGCGACGCAAGTACAGGATAGCTTGACGACTGCCCCTGTGTTGGCTTGCCCCGACTTTTCCGCCAAGTTCGTCTTGCAGACTGTCGCGAGTGAGTATGGCCTCGGCGCAGTGCTGACGCAGACGATTGATGGCCAAGATCGAGTGATAGCGTATGCGAGCCGGAAGTTGCTGAAGGCCGATGTGAACTATTCCGCCACTGAGAAAGAGTGCCTGGCAATAGTGTGGTCGATCCGGAAGTTGCGCTGCTACTTAGAAAGGTACCGGTTCGACGTGATAACTGACCATCTAGCACTGAAGTGGCTCAACTCGATCGAGAGTTCGTCCGGAAGAATCGCGCGATGGGCGTTAGAGCTGCAACAGTTCCAATTTGACGTCCATTATCGACGGGGGAAGCTCAACGTCGTGGCCGATGCGCTATCGAGGCATCCTCTAGAGACCTGTCAGCAAGCAGTGGTGGCCGAGGCCCCTTGCAAATGGGTCGCGAGTGTGCGTGCCAGATTCGCCGAAGAGCCATGCAAGTTCCCGGATAACATCGAGGAAAACGAACAGCTATATAGGCATTTGGGTCACCGGATAGACGATGAGGACTACATCCCCTGGAAACTATGCGTAGACAGTGGTCAACGCCAGAAGGTACTGAGGGAATGACATGATGCTCCCACGGCCGGACATCAAGGTGTCAGGAAAACGGCGTCGGGGTTAGCCCAGCGGTACTACTGGTCGGGTATGTTCCGCGATGCCACCAGATACGTGAGATGTTGCGAAGACTGTCAAAAATTCAAGAGTGAGCAACTCAAACTGGCCGGTTGCATGCTGACGAGTCAGGTGGCAGAGCCGATGGCGGTACTTTGCGCGGGCTTCGTCGGACCCCTTCCACGGTCGAGACATGGAAAAACGATGCTACTGGTGTTCCATGACGCTTTCTCAAAGTGGGTGGAATTGGTCCCTCTCAGGAGAGCCACAGCAGAACATCTACAGACTGCGTTTCGAGAGAGGATTCTAAGTAGGTCCGGGTTACCTAGAAAGTTTGTGTGCGACAACGGGGTACAGTTTACGAGTCGGAGCTTCAAGTCGTTTTAGGGGTCCCTGGGTGTAGAGATCTAGTAAACCGCCCCGTACTGTCCGCAAGAGAATCCCACTGAGAGGACCAACAGGACTGTAAAGACCATGATAGCGCAATTTATTGAGGGCCACCAGAGTTCATGGGACGTCCCACAGTTTTTTTGGCGAGGAGCCATCGTTCCCATGGCCAAATCACGGCGAGGAGCCGCTGGCGGGACAGCCCAACAATGTGTTTATAAGTCTTGATGGTATTAGTTAAATAAGAGGCAAGAAGCCGCCAATGGTACAAGTAGCAATTGTATTAGTTATATAAGAGGCAAGGAGCCGACAATATTATAAGCCGCAGTGTATTAATTATATTATAATCACCAATTATATTAATGAGTAATAAGGCGAGGAGCCACGAAGGTTATGGGAGCGAATTTGAATTTAACCGCCGGCCGCCGCTGCAACCGTGCGTTGTTGATCGGTTGCTCAATACCGCATTCAAGAGCGCAACTCCAATTCGGCGGCGAAGAGCGAAAGCTTCGAGGCGAAGTTACGAAAGCTCGCGGCGAAGTTGAACGGCCAAGGCAAGCGCATGGCTTGCTGGCGATCGCGCCGGGACTTTGGAATGAACGCTAAGGGTGAGTAGACGTGCATTGTGAGACGAGGAAGGTCATAGAGTGTACATCGGAGCGCTAGGGCTCCAGAAAACAGTGCGGCAGGGTTTAGCTCGTGAGGTACTATAAAGTAGCAATAAGCGAGAAGTGAATCAAGTACATTTGTTATAATTATCGAGAGGAAACCGGATAATTATTTGTTTCTTGGTAACCTGGCTTACCTTAACATCGGAATTAACCGGCGCTCGAGCTAATCTCGATCAGGAGCATGTGGTACGAGATTGTGGCCCCGCGGTGGGCATTACCGGTTGGTGTTTCGATAGAGTAGTGGTACGAGGCCACGGCCCGATAGAGCGTTTGGGTAGTGGAGTTGGCGCGAGGCTCTGGCCCGATAGAGTAGTGGTACGACGCCACGGCCCTCAAGTGTAGTTGGTACGAGGCTACGGCCCGCTAGTGTAGTTGGTACGAGAACACGGCCCGGTAGTGTAGGCGTGCAAAAATAGCTCTAGGCTTGGTCTGGTCAGGAAACTCACCCCCCTTCCCCCTTAAGCCCTCCTTCCCAACGAAATTGAGGGGCAGAGGGCGGAGTACTCAGGCAGCCAACCCGTAGCCCCGGGTGTCTCGAGTTCGAATAGTGCAGAATGGGCGAGGACGGCATAGTCCCCGGGGGGACATCTCAATCCGCTCCGGTCTGCTCCCAGAGGATCCGGAACGACCGTTGTGGACAACAGGGTCTCCGCCCCACCCGCTGCACCCGGGAACGGAGATGATCCGCGACGCGCGTGTCGTAGGTGCGCACAGGAGGGGCACTTCGCCAGAGAATGTCCCAACGCCTCCGTCTTATTTTGTTGGGTATGTGGAAGCCGGGGCAGAAGTAGTCAGGACCAGGCTCGGGTCGGCGCCGATACACACGGAACGCAGTAGTAGGACACCCGCTGAAGGTGGACGGTGGCCGGATCGTCGCTACGGTAGAGATCGATACTGGAGCCACTCGTAGCTTCATGAGTGAAGACTGCGTACGCAAGTGGACGATTCGGAGAAGAGTGGAGGTAATACAGGCACGCATCCGCCTGGCGAATGGGTCCACCATAGAGGTGGAGAAAGCCTTGAGAGTAGACGTCAGCTTAGGGGAAAAAAGATCAGCATGACGATTCTCATCATGCCCTCAATGTTGGACCACGTAATCCTGGGTATGGATTTTTTGGGTGCAATAGGCGCTACAATACGCTGCGGCGAGGCAGAACTGGTCCTAGAAGCAGTGACAACACCGGGCGTGGGGCCTGGATCGAGGGGTCGGAGAAAGACCTCCCAGGTCATGAAAGGGGAGCACCTGCTCGGCTGCAGAGAGAGTCGGAGAAAAGCTTCCCGAGGGGAGCACCTGCTCGGCTACAGAGGGAGCCGGAGGAAAGCCTCCCAGGTCATGAAAAGGGAGCACCTGCTCGACGACAGAGGAAGTCGGAGGAAGGCCTCTCAGGTAATGGAAGGGGAGCACCTGCTCGGCACCCGTTGGAAAAGGTCAGGAAAAGCGAAATAAAGTCCGGCTCAAATCGAGACCCTGAAGAACCCAGGAGGCGGCGCGTAGAGCTGCAAAGGCAGACTTATGTTAGTTACGGAAGCGTCACGGCGGGAACTTGCCAGGGAAAGTAGGGAGTAGAAGCAATGACCAGAATCCACACGGACACAGGGAGCCAGGAACGACTGCCAGAATCGAGTGGTCATGGAGTTCTGTCTGGAGTCGAAGTTGTGCCAGGAAGGGGCGAAAACGGCATCGAAGAGGCGGAGTGGCCAGCGGATGTGGATCCAGAACTGAGGGAGTTCTGGAGTCAGAGCTGGCTCTCTTCGAGGGACTGCGGGGAATCTCACACATCGCGGAGCACAGAATCCGGCTGAGGGTTGACAAGCCATTGAAACAGAGATACTATCCCAAGAATCCGGCCATGCAGAGGGTGATCGACGAGCAAGTGGATGAGCTGATACAGGCAAATGCCATCAAGCCGTCGCGTAGTCCGCACAGCGCCCCGATCGTCTTAGTCAAGAAGAAGACTGGCGATTGGCGTATGTGTATTGACTCCCGACAACTCAACGCGCATTCCATTCCGGACGCTTATCCGGTGCCTCATATTAACCACATCCTGGAGCGGTTGCGTCACGCCCGGTTCATCTCCACTCTGGATTTGAAGCACGGGTACTGGCAGATACCGATGGCAGCCGATAGTCGGGAGTGTACGGCGTTCACAGTCCCTGATAGAGGTCTTTTCCAATGGCGGGTGATGCCATTTGGTCTACACTCGGCGTGTGCGACCTATCAGCGAGCATTGGATTCAGTAATAGGACCGGAAATTGAGCCCCATGCGTTCGCTTACCTAGACGACATCGTGGTAATAGGAGCAACGAAAGAACAGCATGTAGAGAATTTGAGGGAGGTATTCCGCCGGCTATGGGCGGCCAATCTCAGGTTAAATAGGAAAAAATGCAGCTTCTTCCGGAAGAATTTAGTCTACCTAGGACATGTGATTTGCGGGGAAGGAATAGGTACTGATCCGGAGAGAGTGGAGGCGATACGTAGCCTGAGGGCCCTGACAAATTGCAAAGAACTGCGGCAGTGTCTCGGGATGGCGTCATGGTACAGGCGCTACGTCCCTAACTTCGCGACGCAAGTACAGCCAATCACAGCGCTCTTAAAGAAGGGGCAGAAATGGGCATGGTGGCAAGAACAGGAGGAGGCATTGTGTCAATTGAAGGATAGCTTGACGACTGCCCCTGTGTTGGCTTGTCCCGACTTTTCCGCCAAGTTCGTCTTGCAGACTGACGCGAGTGAGTATGGCCTCGGCGCAGTGCTGACGCAGACGATTGATGGCCAAGAGCGAGTGATAGCATATGCGAGCCGGAAGTTGCTGAAGGCCGATGTGAACTATTCCGCCACTGAGAAAGAGTGCCTGGCAATAGTGTGGTTGATCCGGAAGTTGCGCTGCTATTTAGAAGGGTACCGGTTCGACGTAATAACTGACCATCTAGCACTGAAGTGGCTCAACTCGATCGAGAGTTCGTCCGGAAGAATCGCACGATGGGCGTTAGAACTGCAACAGTTCCAATTTGACGTCCATTATCGACGGGGGAAGCTCAACGTGCAAGTTCCCGGATAACATCGAAGAAAACGGACAGCTATATAGGCATTTGGGTCACCGGATAGGCGATGAGGACTACATCCCCTGGAAACTATGCGTAGGCAGTGGTCAACGCCAGAGGGTACTGAGGGAATGTCATGATGCTCCCACGGCCGGACATCAAGGTGTCAGGAAAACGGTGTCGAGGTTAGCCCATCGGTACTACTGGTCGGGTATGTTCCGCGATGCCACCAGATACGTTAGATGTTGCGAAGACTGTCAAAAATTCAAGAGTGAGCAACTCAAACTGGCCGGTTGCATGCTGACGAGTCAGGTGGCAGAGCCGATGGCGGTACTTTGCGCGGACCTCGTCGGACCCCTTCCACGGTCGAGACATGCAAACACGATGCTACTGGTGTTCTCAAAGTGGGTGGAATTGGTCCTTCTCAGGAGAGCCACAGCAGAACACCTGCAGATTGCGTTTCGAGAGAGGATTCTAAGTAGGTCCGGGGTACCTAGAACGTTTGTGGGCGACAACGGGATACAGTTTACGAGCGGAGCTTCAAGTCGTTTTATGGTTCCCAGAGTGTAGCGATCCAGTAAACCGCCCCGTACTGTCCGCAAGAAAATCCCACTGAGAGGACCAACAGGACTGTAAAGACGATGAGAGAGTTCTCAGTTGAGAGTGATTACGTGTTTTACTTGTGCTCCAAGATTTTTATATATTTTTGCGCTTTTATCCTGCTTTTTATTTCAAAATTTTGCATTTTTCGGTGCTTTATTTAAAAAGCTTTTATAAACTGTGCAAAGTGTTATCTATTGTGCAACGTAAGTCTGTTAATTATTGCATTTTTTAAACGCGGCGTCAGTTCCGTGTTTGTTGTTATTGCCTGTTTTGATTCTTTTGCCTTGGTGCTCCCCTGTGCATACACTTGTTTGTGCGTGTGTTCGCTGCATACTTTTTGCTTGTGCATCGCGCTCCCGCAAATTTTTTTCTATTGCTTTTCGGACCAAACAATTTGTTTGTGTACGAATAATTGTTTTTTGAGTGTTTACTTGCTCTATCTTGCGCACCGTTTTCATTTTGCTCTGCGCTCTCGCAACTTGCATACGCGTTTAATAATTATGTCGTGCTGTAAGAAACCGTGCAAGTTCAAGCAGGCTGACGATTCTGCGCTGCCGCAATTTGTTAATTTTTGGCTGTGTGAGAATATGATGCATGTTAAATGTGCAGGTCTCACTGGGCGTGATTGCGACAAGATCGCTGCTATTGCCAAGAAGGGCTGCGGTGGCTTGCGTTGGTCGTGCCCAGAATGCATCGACAAGCAAATTGATTTCACCAGAATGTATAATTCTGTGAGAAGTCAATTCTTAAAATTAAATAATGTGGCTAAGCAGCTCTCGAGTAATTTTGACTCGAGTTTTGATTTGCTTGGCAAATATAAATTTGAGTCCCCAACCAATCGCCGGTTCTAGCCTCAACTTTTGCAATTGCCCTCTTCGTCTGTTCAGACACCTACGACTTTCTTGTCCCTTCCCAGCAACTTGGAGGTATCTCCAATGTTGTCTTTATCGCCTTCTCCAAGCGACTGTCCAATTACCCCTGTTTCAACCCCTGTACTAGACCCAGTAGAGCCCGTACCTGATCCCGTCCCAATTAATCAAACTGCCTCAGCCCCGTCAGCTCCTGGCCGCAAAGGTAGACCTGCGCACAATCTTGCCCAGATTGTTAAAAACAATCATTGTTCCTCGTTAGCTCCTCCAACTCCTGTATTACCTACGGCCCCATCAGCGCCTACACTAACGGTAGTTGCCCCTCGTAGGCAAGTTTTTGTGTCTCGACTTTCGTCGGACACCACTTTTGAGTCATTGGCAGCCTATATTGCTAGCAAATCTTCTGCTAGCGTGTCAATATCCAAATTTAATTTCTCCACCCCTCGTGAAATATCATCATTCAAAATAAATGTTTCACATAATATGTTCCCCAATCATTTGTGATCCCAAATTTTGGCCTTCCAGTCCCTTCAATACAGGGTACTATTTCTGCCCCAAGAAACTAGCTTCATCTTCTGACCAAATCTTTATTCATTATCAGAATGTCAAAGGTCTCATTTCAAAGCTTAAAAATCGTTTCATGGCCAGCACTTCCTTCGATTCGGATATAATAGCATTTTCAGAAACATGGTTAAACTCAACCATATCTGATTTTGAGATTTTACCGAAAAACTTTATTTTGTTTAGAAATGATCGGCCGACTCGAGGTGGTGGGGTGTTAATTGCCGTTAAAGTCCAGTCTGAACTATTCTCTTTTAGTACGCCTACTGACACTGAGATCGTCTCAGTTAAGGTGTCTTTTCCTACACGGAATACCTATGTAACATGCTCATGTCCCACCTTCTTCTGATATTCAAGTTTATATGAATCACATTACTTGTATTAAAGAAGTTTCTTCACACGTGCGTGATAATGACCTATTAATGGTGTTGGGTGATTTTAATTAGCCGAACATCTCTTGGTCATTATTCACTGCTGAAAATTATCTAGTGCCCCCAGCACAGCACGATTTTATAGACTGCATGCTTGATCTTTCGTTGTTTCAAATCAATTCAATTTCTAATCATATGACTAGAACACTTGACCTTGTATTTGTTAACGACTACCTTATTTCTAATGTGTCTAGGTCCCCTCCTTTATCTCATCCTGAGGATGTCTATCATCCGACTTTAGAGATTGCAATGCTAAATTGTAATCCTTTCATTTCGTGCTCATCAGCCAATAAGCCCCGCTATTGCTTTCGCAAAGGAAATTATTTTTTACTGAATCAGCTTATTTATTCAACCGATTGGTCTTTCTTATATGACTCGGTTGATATGAATACAGCCATTAATTTTTTTTATTTCACCCTAAACTCCCTCTTAGATGTGTGTATTCCT